ACGGCGGAAGGTGGGCGACGTTCGTATCTTCTTCTTTTTGTGGCTGTGGATGCCTTTCAGCACGGCCTTTTTGGCCTTCAAAGCTTTTGCTTTGGCTTCAGCTTTGGGCGGGGCAGGGGCTTCCTTCTTTGCTTTCGGCGCCATCTTGGTAAAAAGGCTCCGGCTTTACTTCTTATATTTCGTTTTTATACTCTTCTGCTGGATGGTTAAGACCAAGGTAAAGCAGGACCTATGCAACAAGATCTAACTGTTTTCTTAACATGGCATAAAAATTATACTAAAGGTTATTTATATGGGACATTTCAGTGTACTCCTGGGTTTTAACATGTTATGTACTTAAAGCCCCTGTATTAGATGAGAATTCTGAGGCCAGCACAGATTAAGAATTTCCTGAGGTATGTATCAAGTAAAACAGTGGGAGTTCCTAACTCCCACTGTAGTGTGATTTCCAGCATACCATGAAACTTCTTATAAAAAACCCCAATGAATTAGGTAACAAAACGTCATACCTTAGAACAAACTGCATCATCAGTACTATACAGAAGTGGGCAGATGTCTTGTAAATGTAAGCTGATGCCATCAACAGCAGCATTATCTCTGATGTAGCAGTTGATAAGAGAAGCAATCAAGGCCCCTGTGAGCTCTTTGTCCCTGATTACCAGATCTTTGAAGGTGGTGATCTTCAACTGCTCTTGAACCTCCTGGAAGGATAACAGAAAATCATTTCTCGCTATCAAAATTGCAGAAATGTATTCTCACACAGTATAAAATTTTTAATAACTTAAAATTACCTAATCATTAACAGTTACTCAGAATAGGGCTGGAGCATTCAGCCCAGTCTTAGAGTGCTTAACTACCATATAGAAAACCTTAAGTTCAATCCTAAGCACCAAAAATAAAACACACACTAAACTATAGAAAAAAATTTTGTTTTTATAAATTAGTACATATTTGCTGTACTATACATAATAATTAAATTTTTCATGTGGAGTTGATACATGTTCATAACACATTTTAATTCTTTTCAACCCCTCCTTTTCCACCTTCCCTATAGAAACAATTCTTGCACCTTGCATAAAATTATTTAGAGTTGGAAAGCAACTGACGGTAGGTCTAATTAAAACTTCTCAGGCTGGCCACATAGCTCAGTGGACTAAAACGCCTGCTTAGGCAGACACAGTGACCAGGGTTCGATACCCTGGCATGCTGTGGAGGCCCTGCCCACAGGGTGTGCTGAGAGAGCAAATGAGACTGGGTGTGGTGGTGTGCGCCTGTAATCCCAGCACTTGGGAAGCTGAACACAGGAGAATCACTAAGAGTCCAATGTGTGTAGTGAGATCCTGTAGACCCTGTACTAAATACATTAAAAAATAAAAATAAGGGGCCAGGGAGATGGCTCAGTAGAATAAGCGCTTGCCTGGCAAATGCAAGGGCCTGAGTTCAACCCCCGGTCCTGCAAATAAATAAATAAATAAATAAATAAATACCTCATTTTAAACATGAGGAAAGTTAAGTCAAAATACAGCCAGGTTACTTACTTTGTTACAACCAGGAAAATATAATCATTTGCTTACATTTTTGAAAATCTTGAACTTACATTTTATTTTTTCCAAAATAATACTGGAATTCTATTATTTGAGACCTTCTAACACTGGAACAAGATCTGCATTTTGAACATGTAAGAATTATGAAGTATTATTATGATTTATATTACAGTAAAATATTCTATTTAACGGTACAAAATTTTCCTTTTCCAAATTTCAACAAATAACAAAACTGTGTTCAAAGGCTTTTTTTGAGGAACTGGGGATTGAATTCAGGCCCTAGCGCTTATTCTACTGAGCTATCTCCCCGGCCCTGATCAAATTTTAATCTGTATTCTATGCACATATAATTGGTGATGCAAAGAAGACAGTTTTGATGATGGGTCACAAACAATTTCTTGGCTCAAAAACTATCTACATTACACTTATAACCTGAAAATCATTCTACCTAGCTTGGAAAGCAAAATTGCTTCCCTAACAAGGATGAATTTTTAAAACAGGAAAAAAAAAAAAAGTATGTGCTTAAAGTAACCCTCAAGGGGCTGGGGAGATGGCTCAGTAGAATAAGCAGTTGCCTGGCAAGCACAAGAGCCTGAGTTCAATCCTTGGTTCCAGGAAAAAAAAAAAAAAAAGTAACCCTCAAAATAGCAAATGAGAAATAAAAAAAATCAAACTATACTCAACAGACATTAATGAAAAGAAGTGGAGACCAACTTTAGGTTTGAAAACTTGGTATGTAAGAAATAAGACTTAAGTATTTAAGTTAATCACATACCCTTAGAGGTCAAGAAAAAATATTTATAAAATTATGGTCAATAACTGGATGGAACTGCCATTTAGAAAATGACCATTCTGGCCAGGTCTGATAATAATGCCTGTAATCCCAGCACTCAGGAGGCTGGGGCAAGAGGATCAGCGCAAGTTAAAGGCCAACCTGGGCTACATAATGAGTTCAAGGCCACCCTTAATGACATAGCCAAGACCCTGTGTCTCAAAAAAAAAAAAAAAGTTTTTTTTTTTTCTTTTTCTTTTTCTTTTTTCCTTCTGTATTTTAGGGAAGTGTCAACATGGTGTTCAGGGTCTCACTACTAGATCAGACTTGTCATTCTCTTGTTTACAGCCTCCCAAGGGCTGGGATTACAGGCAGGCGCCAGCACTCCTACTCTCAATTGCTGTCTCAGCGTGCCTCAGGGGCGAGGCTGGCATGGCAGGCCCAGGGATCGAATCCACTGAGCTTTAATCCACTGAGCTTTTTGGCTGGCCCTATCATTTTGTAATTGTAAATGAAATACCAATTCAGGTGGCAATTATCAACTGATAACAAAAATTTGACTAAACCCTAACAAAAATTTACAATAGCAGTACTGGATTTATATCCGGAATACAGCACTCAACCTTAGTGTCACGAAAAAGTATGATTACCAAACCTTCTGTGTCTCCTTACATAGCCTGATTAACTAACTACTACCCAAGAAGAATTTCTACAGTCTAGCTACTCAGGAGGATGAGGTGGAGGATCTGGAATCTCCAGCAGCCTAAACAATGTAGCAAGACTCCATTTCAGGGTGGGTTGGGGATTTCTTTTGGCCCTCAGACAAACCTGTATCTAATCAAGCCTATGTAGACTTCACTTTCTTTTTATAGAACAAACAAGTGATAAGAGAACAAATTTACTATGAGAATGGCAACAACTTTAGGCTACTTAACATGCTCCAAGACTAATGATCTGGTTTCCACATGGCAATAGCAAGGAAATAAAAGCAAAAATTGTTCTGGATTAGAAGAAAATTCAGGGCCAGGGAGATAGCTCAGGACAATAAGCGCTTGCCTCACAAGCACAAGGGCCTGAGTTCAATCCCCGGTTCCGCCAAAAAACAAAAACAGAAACAAAAAAAAAGAGGTTTACAAGAAATGGCAAATGTGTTGAGTGAATGAAATAACCTTTAAGATAATGAGAAAAAAATATATTATTTTAGATGCTGTGAAATAATTTTGGTGAAATGATACTGTTATTATTAAAAGAAATGTCCATCTTATTAAAGAAAAAAAACAACTCAATATATAGTATTAATAGGACTAAAACAAATGTCTAAGATCTATTCTCAAAAACTTAGTAAAGAAAAAGAAAAAAGATTAGATTTTTTTTTGCCCTTTGCCTGGCAAGCGCAAGGGCCTGAGTTCAATCCCCTGTTCTGCCAAAAAAAAAAAAATTTTAAAAAAAACAGAATTTGTAGAATTTGCTGTGTTTGTAAGGTAATTTAAAATTGTTTACAATAAAGGTATGAATACATTCTTTATTGAAAGATCCTAACATGTAGATGAGCATCAATCAAATATTATTGTGCTTAAAACAGATTCAAATGAAGACAGCAAGAGAAATTACTGCAATCATAAATATCTGTAAAGTAGGAATGTTTAATTTAGGTTGGAACCCTCAAAATTATATGCAAAAATTTATGTGAATGTGGCTGTATGTATTTCGTTGTGTGGACAGAAAGCTTTTATCAGATTTCCCAAAGAGATCTGTAACCCAAATAATGGTTAAATCCTCTTGAGGGTCAGGGATGTAGCTCTCGCCCACCTGGCAAGCGCAAGGTCCTGAGTTTGATTCCCATTACCAAAAAAGTATAGATACAGACATTTCTCTTTGGATCTTTGGTAAAGTAAAACTACATTCACATACCAAATATAAAGTTCTGATACTAAAAAGTTTATGCCTTTGACAAAGTTTCAAATTTTCCTTGAGTTTTGCATTTTTGTGCAATTGTACTATAACATAAACTTTATCATTACCTACATGCTTTCCAAATCCAGGTGTAAGACTAAAAATCATCAAATGAAAATAAACTTAGTATTAATACTATGATCTTAAAAGAAAAAAACACAAACCTTACCTTCTGGAGTTCCCCTACAATGACAGTAAATTGATGTTCACAAAGAAGTTTCCATAAAGCCAGAGCCTGGTATGATTTTCGAACCAACTGCTGAATTGCCTGAAGCGAAACCTTTTCACTCAGTTGAGCCTCTAGAGATAAAATACAACTCATGAGATTTTACAGTGACACTGACTGACCTATTTCATTTCAAATAAAAACTACAGTTAAGGTTGAAATCACCACTATTGTTTTTATGCTGTCATAGGTAACCAAGATCATGAGCTGTTACAGTCAGTGTTTTTTTCTCAATTAAAAAAAAAACTTTTTTAAAATTTGGTACAGTGTCTCACTATGCAGTGGTCTCACCACCCAGCTTGGACTCGTAGTGATCCTCATTTTCAGCTTTCCCAGGGCCGGGATTATAGGTGTGTGTCACCATGCCAGGTCTTGATGGCCTGCTCAATGTGTCTGGGGGCATGGCCAGCACAGCATGTGGTGCCAGGAATCGGACCGTCTCTGGTTGCCTAAGCAGGCACTTAGTCTGCTGAGCTATACGACTGGCCCTTCAGTAAAAACTGTATTCAGGTTTTCATCTTCAAAGTATATACATGTGCATCTGTGCATGTACATATTAAAAAAAAAGCCATTCCTTTTTAAGAATTATCCCATTGCTTTTCTCAGAGTTATAAGTTTACAGGCTACCCATACTGACAAATATAAATCAAGTTCTTTTAAATTTACTGCTGAACAGTTCTCATGTCAAAATATCAGTCTTAAAAAAAAAATCAGTCTGACGCATTTTCCACTAAAGGACATTAGAATGTTTCCAGTGTTTTGCTACCAAAACAATACAATAAACATCCTTAAACACGGTCTCCTGGGAAGTATAACCAAGACTGCTGAAGACTGATTATTTCATACTCTAAATACACAATGGCAGATCATGAAATCAACTGAGTCAGTCATGACACACTTTTCATTTTCATGATTTTTACCAGCCCCCGCGCCCTTTTCTGCGGTACTGGGGATTGAACTCAGGAACTTGTGCTGTGCTTGCCAGGCAAGTGCTTATTCTACTGAGCAATCTCCCGGGCCCTACCAGACCATTTTGATGCGTCTTCTCTTTTCTTCTTTGTAAGATATTGAAAAGTAGATCCTACACATTGTTGTTTTAGTCCTACATATTTTATATCATGTATTTCTTTAATAAGATGGACATTTCCTTGAATAACAACATCATTATCACACCAAAACTAAAATTATTTGACAGCATCTAAATAATAAATTTTTAGGTAGCAAGTACATTGAAATGAAAAAGGAAAGAAAAATTAAGAGTATAAGCAGGTTTCAAAAAAAAGTGTAGAGCAGGTAGGCCAATGCTCTGCTAGACTGAGGTGGGAGATCATAGGTTTAAGTCTGCTCTGGACAATTTAATAATTTAGAACCTGGGTGTGGGGTGAGGAGGACTGAGGATATACCTTAGTTTAAAAGCCCCGAGTTCAATCCCAGGTATCACAAAAAAAAAAAAAAAAAAAAAAAAAAGGTGAATATGTAGGAAATTTGTTTGAGTTTATAAAATTGTAAACATCTGAGTAGGGCTGTAGCTTAGTTGTCATCATTTCGGTTTGTTTGTTTGTTGCAAGGGAAACAAAATAATACAAGACACATTTTATAATAGTATTGTATAATCAATCACTGAAGAATCATATATAAGAAGTATAGGAAATCTGTCCACACACTAACACTAAAGACTTCAGCTGAGGGCCTAGACCCTAATATCCTGCATGAGTCCAGCTGAAAACCTAGAGCTCATAACAATGCCTCCCACAAGTTCAACTAAAGGCCTAGAGCCCACAACAAAGTCTCATGCAGATCCGCTTCATGGATCTGTGCTAGAAAGGCCCAAAGGTCAGTGGTGGACACTAGGAGGTTCATGCCAGCAGGATGATGGAGCTGTGCTAGCAAGCTCAGGGGTCTAAACTGGAGCTAGGAGGTGATGCTCAAGGTAAGCACCACAGCTCCCCGCAAAGTACCACAGTCATCCTTAGCAACAGTGAGGTCTCGCGCTCCTCGAGCAATGAGAAAAGCCAGTTCACATCAGGAAAACCAATGTAACAAGCTTCTCCATGAGACTGAGCAGTACACTATCTTCCCTTCGGAGGCAGGAAGTGATGCTCAAGAGGAAGACCAAAGCTTCTCCAAAGTTCATCGGGAAAGCCAGCATGACAAGGGCCTCCAGCAGAAAAGAACAACAGAACTAGCAGCTTCCAACAGCTCCAACAACTTCTCCAAACTGCATCTCTAACAATGTTCTGGCAGCTTCTCCTGTTCTGCCTTTTACGCTGCTGGCAAAACTCTCAGGTGGGGTTCCCACACCCAGTACCATGCTAGTTTAACTCAGATGGATGTAATAAGTTGAACACCAGTTAGAAAGCCATTACAAGAGGGTTTGCTTATTTGCATGTGCAAAGCCCCAAGTTTAATCCCCACACTTAAAAACAACTCCCCCCACCAAAAAAAAGTCATGGTCAAGTCACAATGAAAAGTGTATATTATGTATACATATCACAGTACAAAGAAAGAAGTTGGATGAAGACTGGGATATTAAAAAAAAAAAAAAAAAAAAAGACTGGGGTATGATATATACCTAGAAATAAGATTTCTGGTTTTAAGTATGTATAAGCCAAGAGTGATGGTCCATGCCCCTAATCTCAACCCTTGGGAAGCTGAAGCAAAAGGATCACGTTGGTTTAATTTGTACACATCCTTACTAATGCTTAATACTAAGCATAAGGCTTTCCTAAACAAGTTCTGACAAAAAAAAAAGAAAAAATTACAAAATGATAAACAGGAAATTAGGATGAGAAACAAGGGAACACATTAGCTTGGGACAAAAGAAATGGCTGGGTTTCACTTAAGAAACATCTATTAGCCAGACTAACTGGTTCCAGTAACAGAAGTCAAAAGAGGGCTGGTTAGATGGCTCAGTGGTCTAAAGCACCTACTTAGAACAAGCTTAGCAAAGCACAGGGACCATGGTTCAATCCCCCAGCACCACATGCCAGCCAGCCCTGCCCCCTGGTGGGCTGAGCTGGCCACACACACACACACACACACACACACACACAAAAAAAAAAAAAAAAAAAAAAAAAAAAAAAAAAAAAAAAAAAAAAAAAAAAAAAGTAAGAAAAAATTGAGGCCAGCCTGGGCTGAATAATGTGTTTGAACAGCCTGGACTACATAGTAAGACACTGTCTCCAAAACAAATTCATCAGACAAACTAGATCTTAGAAAAATTTATTATTCTAATCTATATGTGGAACAACTGAATACAAGGATTTCTCTTATTCTTTCTTAGAATTTGTATTAGATGAAAAACAGCCAAATATTTACTTCACAGCTTTACAAAAAGTTGTATCACAAAGCACTGGGCAAATGCAAACCAAAATTACACTGAGACTGCATGAGCAGAGGGCCCCTTTGTTAATCCCCAGATCTCACACACAAAAAGGAAAGCATGTTAAATGAAATAGGCCAGCGACAACAGAAAGTGTGACGATAGTGGCCAGGGATGAAGATAGAAAACTGGGAAGTAATTATTTGTAGGATATAGAGTTTCACTCTAAAAACATGAAAAAAAGTTGGAGATGGATAGTGATAACTACACAACGAAACAGTTAAAATGGTAAATTTATGGTAGATATATATAATTAGAGTTAAAAAAAGAATAAAACATGTATCATGTTTTAGGTGTTGTAAGGGACAAAATGTTGTAAGCTAAAAGAGCTATAGAAATAAATGATTTTTTTAAAATAAATGATTTTAACAACGTTCCATTTTCCCAATCACATCAGTTATATTTCAATTAAAAAAATGTTATCAAGCTGGGCATAATAGTACACATCTGTAATCCCAGCACTTGAGAGGCTAAGGCAAGCTGTGAGTTCAAGTCCAGCCTAGGATACATAGTGAAAACCTGTCTCCAAAAAAAGATTTGTTACAAGACAAACTAGATCTTACTGAAAGCAGCCCACTATTTATCTCCTATTCAACTAATTGCAGTCATGTAGATGTAACTGATCAGAAGCAATAATTTACCATGAAACTTTCTCTGGAGATCCTGTTGCATCTGCTGAGTATTTTCAGGACGCATAAATCCTATCAGCCTCTGCTGAACTCTAGCAGTAGTCCTAAAACAAAAATACAGAATTACGTGTGTAGCAGCTTTATTAAGAGATAACTCAGACACTATACAATTTAAACAGTTAAAACATACAATTTTTAAAACTGTATTCACATGATCATCTCAATAGATGCAGAAAAACCCTTTGACAAAACCCAATACCATTCATGATAAAAATACATAAGGACCTTACCTCCAACCTATACAAGCCATTTATGACACACCCACTGCCAATATCATTCTAAATGGGGAAAATCTGAAAACGTTCCTTCTAAAATTAGGAACAGGTGGGGGTGTCCACTCTCACCACTCTTGCTCAACACATTATCTTAAATTTGATCCAGAGCATCAGGGAAGAAAAAGAAATACAAGATGTAAAATTAGGAAAGAAGAGTCAAACTATGTATCTTTATTGGTAGATGACATGATACTCTATAAAAGACACAAAAACACCATAACTCCAAATTCATAACTCATAATTCACCAAATTGGCAGGATACATAAATCAATAAATACAAATCAACAGTATTCATGTATACCAACAATGAACCTACCAAGAAAGAAACAAACAAAAGATCCCATTCATGGTAGCTTCAACAGAAACATGAAAGAATCTAAGTGAGAAATCTTTATAATTAAAATTGTAGTGCTCTTTAAAAAAAAAAAGAATAATTAAAATGGAAATACGAAAATAAAGACCTCTAATGTTCCTGGATAAGCAGAACCATTATTATTAAAAGACCACATGATCAAAATGATACAAAGATTTAAGGCAATTCCAAGGAAAACACCAAGAGCATTTCTCTCAGAACTAGAAGAAAATACTCCTAAAATGTGCATGGGAGACTTCTGGGAAGATGGTGGAGTAAGCAGCAGACAGAGCCTCTCTTCAGATCTGTTGCCCAGATACTGGAATACAGCAACACAAAGAAGAGAGGAGGTAAGTGGGTCCTCTGGATCCAGAAAGCATCTGAAGCAAGAATTGAAGCCCACAGGGAGAATGAAGACTAACTTCAATGAAGGGGGTGGAGGGTGGCACCTTATCCCTGAGTTGGGACTCATTATGCAGCAGGAGTGGTTCAAACCTGTGGACACACGGCGACTCCTGGCAACCCAAGAAGCCTCCACAGATAGATACAGCAGTGTAACACAGGATCAGACACCAAGGACTGCTCTGGCTGCTGAGTGGAGCAGATCTGGCTGTTCCTTGGGAGAGGGTGACTGGCTGGCAGCCATGTTGGAGAGAGGCCAACTCAGAACTCAAAGAGTTGAGGTCAAGTCTGCAAAGCATGTACTGGTGCTATGGGTTGAAAGGGTCTGGTCTCGGCCTGAACTTAGGTGGAAATATAGGTGATGTCTCGCTGAGATTATCCACAATCCTGCCCTGTAGCTACTGCTGGTTTGTTGGGATAAATCAACACAGTTCTGAACTCCTGTCTCCATTATCTACTAGTGACAGCAGAGACAAACCTGGAACTAGCTTTCTTTTCTGTTTTTTCTTTGATCTTGTATGAGTGTGAATATGGTTTTTTAGGCCTTTTTTTCTTTCTTTGTGGTTGTTCCTCTGTTCTGTACTTCCTTTTCTTTTTTCCCTCTTTTTCTCCTGTGTTCTGCAACTATCTCCTAAAGTGTGAGATCTTTCTTGTTCTCCAGCCTTGCTGCTAATCTCTTCCTCTTCTATTTCTCTATTCTCTACCCCACCACCTCTTCTAAATTTTCTGACAGTAAAACTGACATTTTTTTTTTTTGCAGAACCAGGGATTGAACTCTGGTCCCTGCGCTTGCCAGGCAAGCGTTTATACCAGAGCTATCACCCCAGCCCCAAAACTGGCATATTGAGTGCCTACTTACTGCGCAAAATTCTCTGCTTTGTTTTAAATGTTATTACATAAATACAAATACAGCTCACACGGTTAAAGGTGGCAAATAGTTACCACAGTTCGTTATATTCTAGGCTGTGTTTGATGCTACTGTTACAGTTGATTGTACCACTTCAGCCAAGGTAACATAACTGCTTTAATCAGTTGTTTTTCCTAGTCTGACAAGACTGAGATTGCCTAAGGGTCATCAACAAGACATAGGTCAGTGCCAAAGAACCAGGAGCTAGGCCAAATAAGCAGCAACTTCTCATCCTGAATAAATTGAAGAGGTAGGATCTCCCAAGGGACTCAAAACCCAAAAGCTAGCTATACCAGGAAGACATGGATAAAGATTTTGAATACAGTGAATACTACTCAGACATAAAGAAAGCTTGAGACATTTTTAGTTAAACAGATGTACTCTGTACTCTGAGACCATACTGTTAAGTGAAATAAATAAGAAACACGGGTGTAAATATCCCATTGTTTCTCTGGTGTGAGAAACTGAAAATGTTAAGGATCAAAATGCACAGCATATATTGGGAAGAAAAAAGGGCAAGGAAGAAAAACAAAAATTTCAAATGAACAGCATATCATTTACAAGAGGAAAGAGAGTCGGGCATTATACCTTTTCTTTGTAACATAATTTGTGGAAAAAAAAATGGTATAAAATATACATGAAGGTCTCTGGAAGAAATGTTCTATTACCTTATAATTCTGTACCTATTAGGCAATAAAAAGGAATACAGTGGTTTTTTATTTTTTATTTATTTTTTTTGCGGAACTGGGGAGTGAACTCAGGCCCTTGCGCTTGCCAGAGAAGCGCTTATTCCACTGAGCCATTTCCCCGGCCCCATGCAATATATAATTAACACATACTATAACATAAATCTCAAACGTGCTAAATGAGAGACACACAACTCAAAGACTATACACTATTTGACAGTGGTGGCGAACTTAAGGCCACAGTGAGCACACGGTGCCCTCTCTGTAAGCAGGCAAGGCAAGCTGCCACAAAATCAATAGTGTTAAGTTGTTTAAACCTCAGGATTCAGGTTTAATTTTTTTTTTTTTTTTTCTTCAGAACCGGGGATTGAACTCAGGCCCTTGTGCTTGCCAGGCAGGCACTTATTCTACTGAGCCATCTCCCCAGCCCCTCGGGTTTAATTGCAGCATATTGTAAATACTTTATCACCTTGTGGCTTTTTTAAAAAGTGGACTTTAGTTTGCATTTGGGCAGTCAATCTCTGAAAGGTGTGCCACCACTGGTATATGATTTCATTTATATGAAATGTCAAGAATCAGCAAATTCACAGTAAGTAGTAATTAAGGCTAAAGTGGAAGCAAACAAGGACTGCAAATGTGCAAGAGCATGATCTGGAACTGAATCATGCTGATGGATACAGAATTCTGTTTATTTATGAACAGTCGTTGAACTGAACATTTAAAATGCATGATTTTTTTTTTTTTTAAATGTATGGGGGGGGGCCTGGTGAGATGGCTCAGTGGTCTAAAGCACCTACTTGGAACAAGCTTAGCAAGGCACGAAGGGACTGCAGTTCGATCCCCCAGCACCACATGCCAGCCAGCCCTGCCCCCTGGTGGGCTAAGCTGGCCACACACACACACACACACACAAAAAAAAAAAAAAAAAATGTATGGGGTATAGGGTCTCACTACGCAGCTCAAAAAGTGATCCTCTAGTTTTCAGCCTCCCCAGTGCTAGAACTACAGGCATGAGTCACCACGCCCAGTCCTGGTAGCCAGCTCAGCATGCCTAGGGTGGGGTTGCTACTGCATGTGGTATCAGGGATCAAATCTGGGTCCTTTCGCTTGCCTAGGCTGGTGCTTAGACTGCTAAGCTATCTCCGTAGCCTATATGCATGAATTTCATAGTACATAAACTATCTCAAAAACCAGGTTAAAATATTCCAATAATGGGCTGGGGAGATAGCTCAGTGGGCTAGGGTCTAAGAGCCTGCCTGGAAAGCGCCAAGGACTGGAGTTGGATCCCTAGTACCACATGCTGTGCTGGCCTGGCCAGCGAAACTGGGTATGGTGGTGCACTGGGGAAGCTAAGACAGGAGCATCACTGAGTCCCAGCTGCATAGTGACACCTTGTGCCAAATAAATGCATACAATTAAAAAAAAATCCCATATGAAGTGAAATCATTTCAATCAGGGATCCTAGGTTTCATCAAAATCAGAATATATATTAACCTAATTCTACTATGTCAAAAAATTAATTTCATCTCTCTAAAATGCAACAAGAGATTTTAAATCATTTTATCTAAAAGAACACAACAAAATAGAAACAGATGCTTTCTTAAAATTATTCCAAGGGAAAGCAGCTAGATTCAAGTTTATTTTGCCTGCTCCTGTTGACATACAATATCTAGTATTGGCTGGTCCAATGTGACAGAAAGTAGACTGTGTTGGCTAGGAAATGGAGACGACAGAGTCACTGCTAATGGGCACGGGGTCTTCTGGCATGATAAAAATGCTGTGGAAATCAGGAAACAGTGACAGTTATATTACCTTGTGAATATGGTAAAACCTACTGAATACACTTACAAGGATGACTGTATTAGTATATGAATCATATCTCAACAATAAAAAGTACAATGAAAAGCAAAAAGTAAAATCCTTTTGATTCTTACTTTGGATTTCCTAATGGTCCTCCTGCAAATTGAGAATTTTTATCGAGAAATTCCTGCAAACCTTTCAGTTCTTGTAGTACTGACTCCAGCAGTTGGGAGGGAACACTACTTTCAATCTGTAAGAAATTAAGAATTTTCGAAAGGTTTTTAAAAAATACTAAAAACAAAAAACAAACTAAAAATGCTTACTGATAAAGTGATACCTTCTCCATATAGTTGTAAATGTATTTATACAACTTGAACTTTGAGGTGGCCTATCTACACAAACAGAACAGTTCTTTCTTATATCAGTTCATATCTTGATCTGGATATCGTGCTGTGAAGGACGCTAATGTCCACACTTGCTCCAGTAAGACTGATGCATAATTTATATATTAAAAAATAAATATTTTGTTAACATCTTATCTTCTGTATTTTTAAAGGTCATTATCCAGACTGGAGTAAAGATCTCCAGCACACAAGGCTTCCTAATGTCTTTTTCTAGCTATCAGTCACTGCACCACTAAAGTAACCATTTCTACTTTACCATTAGATTAATTTTTCCAATGTATAAATTTAATATACAAGGGGCCGGGGAGATGGCTCAGTAGAATAAGTGCTTGCCTGGCAAGCACAAGGTTCTGAGTTCAAATCCTTGGTTCCGGGGGAAAAAAATTAATAAACCGTGATGCCTTGGTTGTCAAGCTCAATGTGTTCCAAGTTAATGTTCAAAGATCAAAAAGTTTGAGAACTAAGTATGTTTTTCCCATAAGAAATAATAGAAAAACCAAATAATTGGGTCTGAGGCTCAAAAATTGCACAATTCATTTTTCCAGGAAAATATATATATATAACAAACGTCTTTCTTGAACTCTATTGTGGTTCTCAGTTTTCCCTTTTCCCTTTAACACTGCTATCACAAACTTTCTCTGCAGACTTTTTTCTTCCAAATTTTGTTATTCAATCTTGAAGTTATTTTTTAAGAGAAGTATTACTATATCTGCCAGATAAATGTGTTCTTTGCCTTAGAAATGTAAGAGTATCACAGCTAAGATATTTGGAACCAGGCAGGCTGGTATATGTTTGTAATTCCTGTACTTTGGGAAGTTGAAACAGCCTGGGCCATTCAGAGACTCAGCAAGATCTTGTCTCGAAACAAACAAACAAATACAAAACCCAAAAAACCCAAGAGCAGCTGGGGATGTACTCAGTGTCAAGGCTCTGGTCTTATTCCCCATTACCAAAAATCTGGAACCTTTCTATTAAGAAAGAAAAAATGAAGTTTAAAATAAACTGTGCTCATATTCTATATCCATTAAAGAAATCTTCCTACTTGAATTTATAAATTACAGAGCTTTTAAAGATGTTTTCGCAAAGCAGTCTGAAAAGTATCTTAATGCATGGATATGCTGAGCCCAGAGTATTGCGTACATGTTCTGGGAGTATTGTATGCATGTTTTAAATAGTAAATTCTGAGTGAAGGTAAGTAATAGCATTGACTTACTCATCTTTCACAATAAGCTAACAAGGAGATGTGTTAGTCTTCCTGTTTCTTAAAATGTTAAGAAATTTAATCATCAAGCAGTTTTAAGTAATAGGGCTAAGGCTTACAGGATAGTTTGTTGGGCCAGAACACCAACATCTACATAAAATAATTATTGTTTACAATACCAAGAAATGTGAAAGAAAAATTTAATTATCCATTAATATAATCAATCAATTACATACAAACAATGGGATAATATTATACACACTTACTGCAGTGATCTCTCTATTGCCACTTTTGAATACTTTTTCCACAACTAAGCTAGCATCCCAAATGTTTCTGGAACAAAAAGTTATTTTAATGATTATGCTATAAATGACGAAACACAAGTACAATATTCAGTAAGTTCTTTTCTGTGGAATGTTAGTAGCTTTCTTCAGTTTTTAAAATGTAACAATAGTTTCATTACACAGGCATTCGGCTATGTAGAAAAGCAGGAAATAGGAAAAATTTCAAACCAAATATAACTTATTTCTGGTAGTGAAAAATTCCTGAAGATAAACCAAATCTCTGGATAATGAATTATAAACAGGGACCTTATAATGAAAAAGACCATAAGTTTATAGAGGTCGATCCTCAGTCACATTTTAAAGTGAACAATATGAATGAAAGCATACATGTCTAATTTAAGAAAAGTATACACTAGCCACGATAGCAAATGAGATGGTAGAGTGACTGCCAATACACGGCAATTTTATCCTTCCATATACCTATTTGTTTTTACAGTATGACTTTGGTAATTCATAAACATAGTATTATAGGGACTGGGGAGATGGCTCAGTGGAATAAGCACTTTCCTGGCAAGCGCAAGAGCCGGAGTTCAATCCCTGGTTCAAAAAAACCCAAAAAAACATAGTATTATGGTTTGTACTAGGTGCCCACTCTGAAAGTCTCATGTAGTCACTAGGGTGGGCTTCTAGATTTTGTGATGAACTTATGATCGCTGCTGGGATTATGGCTGTGAGTGCCACACACAGCCAGGGGCAGATAGCCTGAAAGCAACTTAAGTAAGGGAGAAAAAGGCTTGCTCTCCTCCTTTGCTGCTCTGCCACTGCTCCTCCCTTTTGGTTCTTGCGGTTTTGCCCTACGGCTGCCCTCTGCCACGTGGCACTCTGCCTTGGAGCCAGCAGAGTATACATTGAAACTTCCATAAATAAACCTTCCTTCCTTAATTCTGGGTGTCAGGTATTTTGTCTCAGCAAGGAGAGAAAAGTAACCGAGACACAGGAGAAGTCTATTTCACAACTCCTTAATCTGAGTGGGCCTTGAGATTTTCCTACCACCAAGCAAATGAAGTAGAAAAGTAAATGGGAGGCCAGTTCTGAGTGTAGGCCTTAAGAAGCTTTGCAAGTTTCTAGCCCTTCTCAAGGAACCCTTTCACCAGAAAGTGAAGAGAATGAAACCATGTGGACAATGGCTTATCTATCTCTGCAAAGGCTAGAACAGAGAAGCATGCTCTTAAACATGCAAGAACTGCACAAAGATAAAAAGAGCTCTTTCTAACCTTACAGCTGGCTGCATAGGCATGGGTGAAATGAACATGAACAGAACTTCTCATCTGACATCTAGATACATGTTGCTGAGTTATGGTATGGCTTGAAATGCTATATTATTAATACATCAGTATGTAATAAAGTAGTATTACATTATTAGGTTATCAACAGATATATTCTGATGCTACACACAATAAAACAGCAAGAAAAATATATAGATAATATAAAGACCAAATGACAGAAAATCTCATCAATGAAAGGGAGGGTAAAAGTAATAAGAAAATTTAACAAATAAATGATGTCTCAAATTTGTTAAAAATATTTCACTATTCCAAATAGCAAATGATGAGCACCAGCCACAGCCTACTTACCCCATGATTCGAGAAAAGTAAATACAAATACCATTGTGCTTTCCAGAGTACACAATCTCTGGTCCAGTCACACCACTCAGACTTGTGGCCTGTGTTGCTGGGTTGCCCACAGGACAAACTGGAGTTGACATGGCAGGAGACTGGATACCTTAAATACACATAACCACAAAGCACTTTAAGATACTACTCTAAAAATTAAGAATTCTCAATATGCAAAGTTTGTTGCATGTGGACACGAAAAATAATGGAATAAATACCTATGTTAATTCATTTTGCTTCATAAAAAGGGACAATGTGACTTGATGCATTCTTTCAGGCAGATTTTCAAGTGCTGGCAATGCAGAATGAAAGGAAAAAAAAAAAAAAACAAAAACCCCAAACCAACAAATCCCTTGGCAATCACTGCTCCTAACATTACGAATAAAAAAATAATTACAGGGCCCAGCTAAGTGCTGATATTCCTAAGCACATTATTACAGGAACTCTTAAATAAAAGCATTCAGGCCAAATGCCAATACCTGCTTGGACATCACTTCTATTAAATGACATTTTTCGCAAGGATTAGGCAAGGTGCATCTTCTTTTCACAAAATACAACAATAAAGATACTAACATATAAAGTTCGTTCTTCAAAAATAACAGTAGCAATCCAAAACCGAGAAAAGGGTACCTTGAGATGGTGTTCCCAAAAAGGCTGGATTAGGATAGGGACTACCACTCGGAACAGGAGAGCCTAACAAAAGGGAAGAACATAAAATTTATAAAATAAACTCCCCATATTTTGAATCTGATCATAGACACAGAACCTGTATTTAAGCACAAGTAAGTAGAATCACCAATGATACATTCAAGAATTAGGGACTCACCTCTTTTTCCAATAACTTTCCCCATAACCCTCATAATGAAGGAACACTGACACTGGAATTGTTATTGAATCATGTGTATCTTTCCCTTTTAACAGGCCCATTTTAACAAACTGAATGCTGTAAATATTATTGGTTCAATCTATTTCATTACACAGAATACATATAAGCTACTGATTTATCACCAATAATATAGCAGTCATAAAATACAACGAAAAACTATTTAATCATCGCAAAATTTATAAAATTCAAACTATTAAAAGTTGCATTTCAATGTTTTATACTCACTAGAACAAACAGGAATCCCCAAGATGGGACCAACATTACTTGGAGTGGGAAGAGTAGTTGGAAATCTCATCTGTGCTTCACCACCGTATCTATTTGAGTGAGAACAGAAGCTGAGTCCAGTAAAATTAATTATTTTAAAAACTATACAGGAGGGGGCCGGAGAAATAGCTCAGTAGAATAAGCGCTTGCCTGGCAAGTGCAAGGGCCTGAGTTCAATCCCCGGTTCCGGGAAAAAAAAAAAAAAAAAAAAAAAAAAAAAAAAAAAACCTTTTAAAAAAACCTTTTAAAAAAACCAAAAAACACATGGGACCTTCCACGCTCGCCAGATTCTACTTCAGCAGGTACCCAGGCCTACCATATCTGTGTGAGATCTTCAGGGCCCGCCGGATTCTACCCCATCAGACAGGCCTGGTGTGGAACCCTGCAGCAGAATTCTGTGCAGACTATCAAGGGGTGAGACCCACCCAACTAAGCCAGGAGCAGAACATCTTGCCAGAGGGGTATAGCGGATTCACTTCTAAGGGCTGCAGCAGGAAGAAGTGGAGTACAGCAGCCAGACCCAAGACAGGACCACCTGGATGAGTTCAAATTTGCTAGATATGGACCCGGTAAGCTGAGACACTTTGCTAGACTGAGATCTATGAGAGCATCCTCTCTCTTACTGGCTCCACTGAGAGAGGTGGCCAACAGGCAACTAGGGTGAACTAGTCTGCCTGGAAGACTACAGGTACAAAAGGGGAGGTGATCAGACAGAACTTACAGGAACTAATTTAAGTACAAATTCCCAATCTAA